GATTTGTACTAAGGAGTTGTATTAATATAGGGACTTGTGCTAGGGACTTGTGCTAGGGAGTTGTACTAGGGAGTTTTACGAATACTGCTTGGACTAAAGAATTGTCCTAGGAAATTTCACTAGGGAGTTGTACTATTACATTATATCGCTAGGTTGCACTACGGAGTTGCACAATACTTTGTATTCTTACTAGGGAGTTGTACCTGGGAGTTGTACTAGGGACTTGTACTAGCACTCGGGAATTGCATCAAAGAGTTGTACTGGTAATATTTGTGCTAGAGAATTGTACCAAGGAGTTGAACTAGGGAGAGGTACCAGTACTATGGAATTGTACTAGGGAGTCGAACTAGGGCGCACAGTCCTACCAGTTGTACTATGATACCTGTTGCACTCTAATACTTGCACGGCAGGACGATGTGCTCTCTAGGAGCAACTGCGCGCTAGCGCATGATAGTACCAGTCGTACTCAAGTACTAGTTGTACGGTAGTCGGAGGGGTTCAGAGGTTCCAGTGGCAACTCGCGCGCGGAAGAAGGAAAAAAAAGAAATCCACGCGCCGCCAGGGGCCCCCGGTTTAACGCGTCGCCGCGAAGGTTGACCCCCCGCGGAAAGAAGAAAAGAAACCTGGCCAGGGGGTTGGGGGGTTCAGGCATGAGTCGCGGGGCTGATGAAATGATGGTCCACCACCTGGCGATGGAGGAGGCGGATGCGGAGGTGGAGGAACAACTGATTTTCCACCATCGGCCCCTGGAGGAGACGACAACATGTTCCTGGGCCTCACCGGTGCGAGACTACAATCGCGTCCTAGGACAACGGACGCACCACCAGCATGAACACCACCACAACCGCCGACGGCTACTGTGCAGCATAACTTTAGGAACGTCGAGGACACCCCGGGGGGCCGTCGAGCTCATGCAGCTGCTGATTGACTTCGCCGAAGCAAGGAGATGACGAGTTTACTACAAGTGGAGGAGCCTCTGGCAGCGGAACAGCACCAGCACCTTGGGGAGGAGACCTTCCGCCTGCGCCTGCGCATCTACCTGGCGCGCCGGCCTTGCCAAGCCCAGACTCAGGAGCTGCTGCTGATGCGCCGGAACAGGAGCCAGACGACGCCCCTGCATCAGAACAATAACATGCCGAACAACCCGAGGCACCAGAAGAACAGCCTGCTGCGCGAGACGATGGTCATTCATCAGATGCCGATCGTTCCGGATCCAAAGGACTTCGCAACTGGGGCAAGGCCACGGATGAACAAGTGCACAAAGAGACCATCGCACGAAGACCACGAGACCCTGAAGAACGACGTGGAAACAAAACGCAATGACAAGTTAATCAAGAAGACGCCCCGCGCGCGCTTCAGCGAGATCGGTTCGATGAGATAGACGATCGGATCAAGGCTGCCAAGCGCCAGGACATCTTGGACGACCTGCCGACATGCTTCAAGAGGCCCAGGGGCACCCTCAAGACCGACCTCTACTTGGACAACCACCTCAGGTGCACCGCCGATTAGCTGCACTCAACCATCAGGCTCTGGGAGGTCATGCTCACTGGAAAGGCCGCAGCTAAGGATATCAAGTACGACAATCTCTCCATCAAGGAGAAGAAGCTCATGGATGAAGCCATATGAAGCCATGAAGGTCGAGTGGTCCAAGTGGACAGAGTTCGGCGCCTACCAGGAGTTGCCGCCTAAGGGGCTGAAGGACATCCTCAAGCGCCACCCTGGCGTGCGACCTGCGGGTGCCCGTTGGGCGTTAACCCGCACGGCCCAAAACCTCATGAAGGCCCGTCTTATCGCCCAAGGATGCCGAGAGAACAAGTCCAAGATCTGCACTGACGTGCCTGCCGGGTCGAGGGGCGCGCTGTATCTTGCGCTGGCCGCCGCCGCCCAGTCAGGCTGGGAACTCGCGTCCTACGACGCGATGACGGCCTACCTCCAGTCAGGCAACATCGAGACGCTGCTACTGTTGCGCATGCTAGCCAAGAACCCACCACCAGAGACTCAGCCAGGTGAAATTGCAATGGCGACCGGCGCCATCTTCTATGGCACCAGAGACGACGGCCGACAGTGGTATCTCTACGCTCAGGTGTTCCAGGAGCACGGCCCTGTCGAGAGCAAGCTCGGGAAGCGGCTCTACTACATCTACGACAAGGGCCTCGCTGCCATGATCCACTCGCGCGTGGATGATTTCCTGATCGCCCAGCGCGGCGACTCCAGCACGTAGAAGCGGGCCATAGCCCTTCTGGAGAAGAAGCTGCACCTCAAGAAGGTCGAAAGCATCATCAAGTACCGCGGCCGGACCATCACCAGGTCCGACGAGGAGTGCCGCATCACCCAGGCGACAGCCGCCGCGCAGGTGGATTTCGTCGAGCTAAAGATTCAACGCGGACGATCACCAAAAGATCGACTTACTACCTCGGAAGTCTCTGGCTACCGCCACACACTCGTTCAACTGCTGTGGCTTGCACTCCAGACCCGAGTGGACATCGCCTGCCTGGTGAGCATGGTAGCTCGCCGCGCGAACGTCGTCACGGTGGCCGACGCCAAGACGCTGAACAAGACCGTCACCTATGTGCACGGGTCTGCAGACTTTGCCATCGTATTCAGGCGGAATATCGTCGACCTGAACACCTGCGCAACGATCTGCTTTAACGACGCCGCCTTCGCTAACGTGGACGGGGTCAAGAGCCAGTGGGGAGTGCCGATGGGCCTGACCCACAGGCCGCGCGATGTCGTGGCAGGACGATCTGACCTATGCCTGCCTGTAGCCTGGCACTTAGGCACGGTCAAGCGCTCCGCGAAGTCGGCGCTGGCTGCCGAGGACTGTGCGACTCTCGAAGGAGCCGAGACGAACTGCCAGCTGATCACGGAGTCGATCCACAAGATCGACGACCTCAGCTAAGCACGTCCTGGAGAGCTCTACACGGACAGTAACGGCCTGGCCACCAACATCAGGTCTGACGTGGGCCAGTCCACCGACAAGCGGTTCTGGATCGTCGCGGCGATGATCAAGGAGTCCGTACACCCCAACGGCCACCTGAAGATCACATGGGTCCCTATATGGAGTATGGTCGCCGATGCACTCACCAAGATCATGGAGACGGGAGTGCTGCTCGCCTTCTTCGGTGCCGAGAAGCACGGTTTCGGAACGCGGCAGCCACGCGCCGCCATGCTCGCCCCTGTACTCGCGACCTGCCTTTACGCGGCCCGCGCCTGCGCCTGCGTTCGCGAAACCTGACATCAGCTATTACTGGTACACGTGGTATCTCATGACGATGGCCTTGATGGTTGGCATCATTACTGGATTTAATACCTTTGCTACGATGTGGTTTGTGATGCGCCAGAATACCTCAATACACGATGACATGAGGAGCGAAGAGAAAGCATCAGACATCGCAGCCGGACACCATCCAGGATGGGACGGACGCCACCTCGGCTGGCGTCACCACGACAGGCCAGCCACGATCCCCGAGGACGCCGGTGGAGATGTGCCGATGGAATCACCACCAGTTTTCGCTGTCGCGCAGAGCCAGTCATCATCCTCAGCTATCGGTTCAGCAGCACCGGCACCAGCTGCGTCTGCGTCGCCGCCGGGATCGAACGCACCATCAACGCCCATGACGATTTCCAGCTCATCATCAGCAAGTGTTGTTTCGTGGAGCGGATCGACACCGACGGTTGCGCCCATGGAGATGAACGAGTGCGTCATCAACCAGCACAACACTCGAATTGGGCACAAGAGCTGGGCACAAGCACAACCCGCATTCCGTGTACATAACCTGCAAGGCGTGCAAGAAACACGGGTCGTGGCTTCGCAGGAACCGCCCGACCAGCGCTCGAGATTTCACGAGGATGCATCACAGTTTGCGCTGGGACCTGCAGAACAGGTGGGTTCAAATGATGAATGGGAACCGAAAACCCCAAGTCCGTGAGAACTGCTAAGAAGATAACGTGAAACATGCCGCAGCTCCGCTTTCTTGCGTTATCAATATAAAAAATACCAGGACCACCACCCGTGGTGGCCGACTACGTGAGTCCGCACTGCAAGAGTGGAGCTGCCGCGCCCGGCACCCACCAGCCAAGAAATATTTCTCTGTGTGCACAATTTGTTTTCAGGTGGTGACGACCACCGACGATCTGTTTTCTTATCAAGTAAGAACGATACTGGCCGCGTGTCAGCGCCAAGAGCCAACCATAATATATTTTCTGCCGGTGCGTGTAGCAACACCCGTTAAATGGCCTAGGGCAGCCGGATTGCACGACGGCAAAGCCGTTTGCCTATGCTTAGATGGAGATGCTGCGCTCGGCACCCACTTGCCCTAGCGGATGCTGCGCTCAGCACCCGCTAATCCGTTTAATGCAGCCGTGAGTGATGGTCTGGGAGGCCCTGGGAGCCCCCCAGGGAGGCCCGAGTCGCCAGGAAACGTCTTTTGGCCCCTAGGGGGGCCCTGGGCTCCTGGGCGATCGGCACTTCACCGTGAAGATGGTCTGGGGGCCCTGGGAGCCCCCCAGGGAGGCCCGAGTCGCCAGGAAACGTCTTTTGGCCTCTAGGGCCCCTGGGCGATCGGCAATTCACCGTGAGGCTGGTCTGGGGGGCCCTGGGAACCCCCCACCGCTCTGGACGCCACAGACGGCGACCAGGAGGAGTGTGATGCAAACTCACTCGCGAGGGTTTGCAAAAGGGGCCGAGGGACATATCAGGCAGATATGAGGCCCCGCAGAGGCCGAGATCCCCGCTTCCTTCCTGCCCTTGCTCTTGCTGCTCTCACTCCTGTTTCCCGCTGCCCTCTCGGTTCACTTCATTATGCAGTGCCCCTGGCCTGAGAGCTACGCCTCGCCTCACAGCGCGAACAAGAAAAAGATATCTTGGCGCCGCGCGCACATCCATGTCACACGATCAACGTTCGATTGCGCCTCCCACCGCCGACCCATGTGAACCGGATCCCCTACTCCAGCCGAGAGATTGACGTGCGCGTGGAAGGGCGAGCGCGGAGGGGTCCGGCCTGGTAGGCCGACGCCTCCACGAAGTCCGCGGATGACGGCGCCGCCTGGGCTCTTTCGGGGGGGGCGCCCCGGCCCCACCACACAGAGGCCTGCGCGGTGCGGTGCTCCGCCCCCCCCCGTGCACAAACAGGTCTCCTCCCCCGGCCACGGCGCCGCCTGGGCTCTCTCGGTGAGGGCTGGGCCCCACCACGCAGAAGACTACGCACACCCCTGTGCACAGGCTTCCTCCCCCGCCCATCTATGGGAGGGAAGGGGGAGGAACGACTCGGCGGCGGCGAGCCCAGGGGGGAAGTCAGAGGGGGCAGGCCTTCTCAGACTCACACCACGAAGAGCCCGAACGACTCACACCACAAGGAGGGGCCCGAACGACTCACACCAGGACGAGGCGCCCGAACGACTCACACCACGAGGAGCCCGGAACGAGTCACACCAGGAGGAGGGGCCCGAACGACTCACACCAGGACGAGGGGCCCGAACAACTCACACCACGAGAAGCCCGAACGACTCACACCAGGACGAAGAGCCCGAACGACTCACACCACGAAGAGCCCGAACGACTCACACCAGGAAGAAGGGCCCGAACGACTCACACCAGGACGAGAAACCCCAAACGACTCAAACCACGAGGAGCGCTTTCTCTCCCTCCTCCTCCGCCTCGTCCTTCTCCCGCTCCCCCCACAAGGAGGATGTACAAGGAGGCGGGAGGAAGGAGGAACAGGGGAGATATGCGGGGCCAAGCGGACACACGCCTGAAAAACACGACTGTCGGCATGCTTCGCAAGAGTTGCTGCTGTGAGATGGGCTGGTGGGAATACGCGAAGCGTAAATAATTATTCTTCAGAAGTGAGAATTCAACAACAACAACAACAACAACAACAACAACAACAACAACAACAACAACAACAACAACAGCAGCAGCAGCAACAGCAGCAGCAATAACAACAACAACAATCATTATACCTCATGCGCGGTGCTTCCACACGCAGCATGCGACCATCATAAAAACCATCCCCACCATGGGGGATTATTGTTCTATCGCGGGGGTCCGTTATTCCCATTCCCAGATCTCCCGCCCAATGAGGTATTGCAAACACCTCCTCCGAGGAATGTCAACATATCCCGCCTCGAAAACACATGCCCGCACCCTGCTGCGCCGATGCGAGACCGCCAGTGGAACCCCAGCCAAGGGTAGAGCACAAGGAAGTATCGAGCGATAGGATTGGCTTGGTGGGGATGGGGGCTGTCGGCGGCGAGGCAAGGACCTGGCCCTGAATAGAAAGCGAGAAGTCTCGAAGGGGTGCTGTTGTTGCTGGGAGCGGCGCCAATGCAGAAGAGAGTAGGGCGCTAGTCCAGCGTGATACATCAGGAAGTCTCGAGAGGGAGCGCTGGTTCTGTTGGGACGGCGGCTGTCGGCGGCGAGGAGGAACACCGCCTTGAGTAAGAAGGAAAAAGTCTCGAGCGGGAGCCGCAGGTTTGTCGGGACGAGGGCTGTCGGCGGCGAGGAACAGCACCGCCTTCAGGAAAAAGGGAGGAAGCCTCGAGCGGGAGCGTTGTTCTTGCTGGGGGCGGCGCCAATTCAAAAGTTGGGCGCCAGTCCAGTGTAAAACGGGAGGAAATCTCGGGCGGGAGCGCTGGTTTTGTTGGGGCGGCGGTTTTCGGAGGCGAGCAACAACACTAGCTCTGAGCAACAAAAAAAATATCCCGGCAAAGCAACCTAACAGCGATGTGTAGGAGCATATCTGGAAGCATCCCCCTTAAGATTCAGATGAGAATCCGGTTGTAGAGTTCTGCTGTTCTCGCAGTCGTAGTCGCATTCGCGATGACAGTCGCAGTGGCCTGCATTAGCCTCAGCCTCAGCCTCAGCCTGCCTCAGCATCAGCCTCAGCCTCAGCTTCAGCCTGCCTCAGCCTCAGCCTCAGCCTGCTCCTGCATCAGCCTCAGTCTGCCTCAGCCTCGGCCTCAGCCTCAGCCTCAGCCTGAGCCTGCCTCAGCCTCAGCCTCAGCCTGCCTCCTCAGCCTCAGCCTCAGCCTCAGCCTCTCAGCCTCAGCCTGCTTCAGCCTCAGCCTCAGTCTGCCTTCAGCCTCGGCCTCAGCCTCAGCCTGCCTCAGCCTCAGCCTGCTCAGCCTCAGCCTGCCTCAGCCTCAGCCTCAGCCTCAGCCTCAGCCTCAGCCTGCCTCAGCCTCAGCCTCAGCCTGCTTCAGCCTCAGCCTCAGTCTGCCTTCAGCCTCGGCCTCAGCCTCAGCCTGCCTCAGCCTCAGCCTGCATCAGCCTCAGCCTCAGCCTCAGCCTGCCTCAGCATCAGCCTGCCTCAGCCTCAGCCTCAGCCTGCCTCAGCCTCAGCCTCAGCCTGCTTCAGCCTCAGCCTCAGTCTGCCTTCAGCCTCGGCCTCAGCCTCAGCCTGCCTCAGCCTCAGCCTGCCTCCTCATCAGCCTCAGCCTCAGCCTCAGCCTCAGCCTGCCTCAGCATCAGCCTGCCTCAGCCTCAGCCTCAGCCTGCCTCTGCCTCAGCCTCAGCCTCAATCTGCCTTCAGCCTCGGCTTCAGTCTCAGCCTGCCTCTGCCTCAGCCTGCAGCCTCAGCCTCAGCCTCAGCCTCAGCCTCAGCCTCAGCCTGCCTCAGCCTCAGCCTCAGCCTGCTTCAGCCTCAGCCTCAGTCTGCCTTCAGCCTCGGCCTCAGCCTCAGCCTGCCTCAGCCTCAGCCTGCAGCCTCAGCCTCAGCCTCAGCCTCAGCCTGCCTCAGCATCAGCCTGCCTCAGCCTCAGCCTCAGCCTGCCTCAGCCTCAGCCTCAGCCTGCTTCAGCCTCAGCCTCAGTCTGCCTTCAGCCTCGGCCTCAGCCTCAGCCTGCCTCAGCCTCAGCCTGCCTCAGCCTCAGCCTCAGCCTGCCTCAGCATTCAAAATGTGGCCCGGGAATGGAATTCTGGGAACTCGAAGAGCACGAAGTGGCCTACAGTTGACTCCGGGCATTCAAAATCATGCCCAGGAATGGGGTTCTGGGAACTCGAAGAGCACGAAGTGGCCTACAGTTGGCTCCGGGCATCCAAAAATTGGCCCGGGAATGGAGTTCTGGGAACTCGAAGACCACGAAGTGGCCTACAGTTGGCTCCGGGCATTCAAAATGTGGCCAGGGGAATGGAGTTCTGGGAACTCGAAGACCACGAAGTGGCCTACAGTTGGCTCCGGGCATTCAAAATGTGGCCCGGGAATGGAGTTCTGGGAACTCGAAGAGCACGAAGTGGCCTACAGTTAACTCCGGGCATTCAGCCTCAGCCTCAGCCTCAGTCTCGGCCTCAGCCTGCCTCAGCCTCAGCCTGCATCAGCCTCAGCCTCAGCCTCAGCCTGCCTCAGCCTCAGCCTCAACCTGCATCAGCCTCAGCCTCAGTCTGCCTTCAGCCCCGGCCTCGGCCTCAGCCTGCCTCAGCCTGCCTCTGCCTCAGCATCAGCCTGCCTCAGCATTCAAAATGTGGCCCGGGAATGAAATTCTGGGAACTCGAAGAACACGAAGTGGCCTACAGTTTGCCCCGGGCATTCAAAATCATACCCAAGAATGGAGTTCTGGGAACTTGAAGAGCACGAAGTGGCCTACAGTTGGCTCCGGGCATCCAAAATGTTGCCCGGGAATTGAGTTCTGGGAAATCGAAGACCACGAAGTGGCCTACAGTTGGCTCCGGGCATCCAAAAATTGGCCCGGGAATGGAGTTCTGGGAACTCGAAGACCACGAAGTGGCCTACAGTTGGCTCCGGGCATTCAGAATGTGGCCCGGGAATGGAGTTCTGGGAACTCGAAGAGCACGAAGTGTGTGACTGTTTGCGAAAAACAAATTCGGACACGAGTTCGGACACAGCTCCCCGGATGCCGCCCAGACCCCCCTGTGGAGTCATCTGCTGTCTTTTTCGACACCACTAGAAACCTATCAATCTTCGCTGTTAGGTAAAAAGACACACGAAAAAAAACACTGCCGCCCAGACGGCCCAAGAGGGCCCCCCTGAGTGGCCGAAGTATCGCTCCAAGACATTCAATGTGTTCCTCGGACGGCTCCAGAAGCCTCCAACGTACCCTCCCGACGACACCTCCTGACAGTGCCCAAAGATGGAGAATCTGTCCCATTCCCTCAGGAAAGCATTTGCACCTTCGCTTCTTCGGCCTTCGCAATGTCCAACACGGCCCAAGAAACCCCCAGAACAAGCCCGGAGGCTCTCGAGAGGGCCCCAAGTCGACCCAAGAAGGGCCCAAGACGGCCCGGGGGGCCCCCAAGACAGCCCAAGCGGGCCCCAGGGCCGGCCCAAGACGGTCCAAGCGGCGCCCAGAAAGCTCCAGAAGGGCCCGAGAAGTCCCCAAGAAACCCCGACAGGCTCCAAGTGGCCCTCCAGAGGCACCCAAAAGGCGCCCCAGAGCGCCCCCGAAGGCTCGGAAAGTACCTCCTACACACCCCCGGGAGGCCTCCAAGACGCCTCCTGCATGCCCCCAAGAAGCCCAAAAGACCCCCCAGAGGCTCAGCAATCACCTCCAAAACGCCGCCCCGGGAGGCCTCCAAAACGCATCGTAGAGGCCCCTAAGCCAGCGCAGCGCCTCCAAGCTGTTTCCAAACCGCTGACGTTTGAACCGGCGCGCTGGGGCGAAAGCGCCCTTCTGACAGCGGGGTCGCCGCCGATCGGCGGCGCCGGCCAGGGGCCTCTACAATCCCTCCGCGGCGCTACTTAGTATATTCCTGTCGTGGGGCTTCCTTCATGAATCCCTCTGCGATGCTTCCCGGTGGATTCTCTTGCGCGCGGCTTCCCAGCCGGAGCCCTGTGGTTCTTTCAAACAGGCTGTCCGACGCGAGGCTTTCCAATGCAAGAGGCGCCACCCGGCGCGCTTCGTCGCAAACGAACGCCCGCGCCATCCGTTCCGCTCGGGCTCTGCCCATGACAAGAACCGCCTCAGACCGCGCAGCGTCCGCGGTGCAGTCGGCGGCCGTCGCCCCCAAAACGGCGCCACCTGCCCGTCCCGCACGTTGAGGACGGCGCACTCATTGTAGATTTCGGCGGCGATGTCGGCGCAATCGGTGGCCTGCCAACTTGGCCCCCGGGGCGCGGCCCTGCCCTGGCGCCCCGGTCGCGCGCGCACATGAGCCGCCCGGCGCCGTCGAGGACCTCTCAGACAAGGCCATCATGGGGCCTCCGTTAAGGACCAATGCGCAGTCTTCGTTGCTCTCCATGGCCCATGGTCTCGACCACCCGGGCGAAGGCTTCGAGGGCCCAGGCTGACCTGCTGCCTCCGTCGGCCCGCCTTGCCCCCGGTCAGCTGGGGCCTCGTCTTCGCCGAGCCGCCGCTGGGATCTCCCCCGCGGCCGACCGGGGCCTGACCTGCGCCGGCGTCGTCAAGGCCTCAATCTGGCCTGCCTCCTGGCTGAGGTCGCCGCGGCACACCGCGCCCCGTGACTGCAAGCGCCGCCGGCCGTTCTACGACCCGATCGCGGCCGATCTCGCTCGGGCCGCCGAAGATCGCCACCGCGTTCGCGCGGTCGGCGCCCCGGCGGCGCCGGGTCCACTGCCCGCCGCAGGTCTGTTGCAGCCAGTCTTCGAGCACCCCCGCAGCGAGCGCGATGCTGGTCAGCGGCGCCCGACACCTTTCCCAGCTTGGCAGCCTGCCCCTTCAAACGCCGACGCCAGGCGCCCCCGCGCCCTTTCCGGCCCCGCTCGCCCCCGCGGCTGCCAGCGCCGGCCGCGTCGCCCAACCGTCCGCTGAGGCGCCCCGCGACGCCGAGGGCCCATCTCCGGAGTCCACTTCCATGGTCTCCTCCGCCTTGACCCCAATGGGCCCCCACTTCGGAGTCGGGCCCCTCGTCCTCGGACCTGGCGCCGGGGTCCGCTCGGTCTCCGCCCGCGCGTCGCTCGCGCGAGGCGCCGACAGCCGTCGGTGCCGCGCGAGCCCCGCCGCGGACTTGGCGCGCGCGGTGCCCGCCGCAATCGGCCACGGCTGGTCGTCAGTCTCGGTGGTCAGCGAGCTTCAAACGCCCGCGACCGTGGGGGCATCTTCCGGCGCCTGCTCAATCACGCCGTCGGCGCGGCCCACCACTGCCACCGGCCCGGCCCCTTCCCTGCTGGGGGGCCCTTGGAAATTCCAGGTCGCCTGTCCAATGGCCCGGCCTGCTGCGGCGCTTGCAAGGGAGCGTCTGCTTGAGCTGATCGATCCCTCCTGCGTCGACGGCGCCCCCCGCCCATCCGCCGCCGCGCCGCGGTAAAGTCTCGCGCCTTCCCGGCCTTCGCGCGGGCCTGCTTCGCCTGAGTCATCGCGGCCGTGTTATCCGTCAGCCAAGCCAGCAGCTCCTCGGAAAACATGCTCGCATTCGGCTGCCTCGTCCGCTCTGGGATCGGCCTCGGAGTCCATGTCTTCATCGTGCTCTCCGTCCCCACGCCATTCGCCGTCGTCGTCGTCGGCGGCCTCGGCCAGATTGCCTTTCTGGCCCCTGTGCGCAGCGTGCGCGGGGCGGCCCCCGCTGCGCACAGACCCCCGCCCTGGCCTCCGACGGCCCCCGTTGCGGCGCTCTCGGCGCGCGCCCACGCCGCCGCTCGCGGGTGGAACCGGCGCTTTCCTGAGCATCGCGGCGCAGGGCAGGCGCGCCTTGGCTGAGCCCCTCATCTTTTCTTAGACCAGCCCGTTCCCAGCACCTGTGATGATCTGCTCTCGGCGCGCGCTCCCGCCGCCGCTCGCGGGCGAGCATCGCGACGCGCGGCGGGCGCGCTTTGGCTGAGTCCAACATCTTTTCGTGGACCAGCTAGTTCCCAGCTTCTGTGATTATGCGGCTCTCTGCGTCGCCTCCGGCCCGCGGTTTTTTCAGGCAGTGATAGGCATTGATGCTTCTTGAGGGGCTCATCAATTGCTTCCTCCAGCTCGCGAATCTTCGTCTGGTAACGCGTCTCGAAATCCAGCGCTTCTTCTCTTGCGTTGCGCGCGATCTTTCCCACGAGCTCGTCCGCGAGAGTGCCGACCTTCAGCGTCTCCTGCTGATCGTACTTGCTGCAGGTAGCGCAGAAGCACCTGGACGCCGTCCGGCGCTGCGAGATTCTCGGGATCGAGATTATCCGTCCTGGCCTCCGTGTCCCCTTTTGAGTCTCGGGGGCTGCCGACCGCCCCGCCTCTGGGGCGGAATCGCGGCGTTCAATTCTGGCGCTCATACCTGGAAGCGCTCGGACGTGTGTATTTTTTCCTCGGCGAGAACCAGCGAGGACCATCCTGGACCATTGATGCAACAAAAAAACACGAAACCGAATCATGCTCAGGAAATGGACGTCCGAGCGACGGCAAGTCATACGCGAAGGAGCACGGACTTCCCGTCCCACTCAGGAGCGCACTTCTCGTCTCCTCGATCTCGCTCACGCCTGTCGCCGCCCCCCGACGGCGCGACGGCCGTTCCCGTCGCCCGAGCGCCAGGTGTCCGAACATCCGCTGCCCACCCAGGCCCAACTCGGGTCGGACTCGGTCTCCGAAGCCCGCTCGCGGCAGGTGGTCGCCACACCCGGCGCCGGTCGAGGCGGGGTCCAGCGACTCCACCCCTCGGACCAGTGGCCGCCCCACTCGGTCCACGGGCGGCCGCGCGCGGCGCATTCGCTCCTTGGTCCCCAGGTGCCGTCGCCGCCCCGCGTGCTCGCCGCGGGTTTTTCCCGCGCCGCGCGAAGCTCCTCCGGTGCGCTCCGCGGCCCCCTCGCGCCGCGCTCTGCCCACGCTCCGTCGTCGGCCGACCGGAAGCCTTCGTCCTCCTCTGGGGCACCGCCTCGAAGACCGCCCCCTGCTCCAAGCGCTCTGCCAACGCCCGGGCTGCCGCCGCCCACACGTCCACGTCCCGCCCCGCGGGCGCACGAATCATCCCCTACAGTGGGTGGCCTCACTGAAGCTCTTTCCGTCGCGACTTCTGCGACGGCACGCCGTGCCGTGGATCAAGCCGCTGGAGGGTAGTTCCGTTACCAATGTCGAGATGCTGATATGTTCCACTACGCGCGCTAAGGCGCCAGGCTGGGGCTGGTCAGAAGGCTGAGCCCTCCCTCCGACCTATTGTCGGGAGGGCTTTCACCGAACAAAACAGCGGGGGAGAGGGAGCAGGGGCAGAAGGGAGCGGTGATCTTCAGCACCCTACGCGATCCCCATGCGTATCCCCTACAGTCGGGGCCCTGAAGAAGGAACCTTTTTCGTTGGGGAGGGGCTCCGCGTTCCTTAAGTGCTCCACAGCTTGCCTCGGGCTGTCCTTATGTTTTCGATGGGAAATCGAAGGTTAACTTATGGAAAAAAGGGGCCTCGTTCCTTATTTAGGGTTCCTTAGGTCAACGCCCCGACGGTATGCGGATTTCTATGCGGATTCCTACGCGGATCCCTATTCGGGCTCCTCTGCGGGATCCCTATGCGCACGGCGGCAGTGCCGGGGGCGCGTTGAGGGCCGGAGCGTTGCGTCATGGAGGGTGTGGCGGGCGGGCCCGAACGCGCGCTATGGTCCAAACAAGGAAGAAAGGGGCGCGATCCGACCAGAATCTCGAGACGGATTCAGCCGTGGCCGCGAGGGCGCCCACGAAGGCCCTGAAAGGGCGAATCGCGCCCCGAAAGCCTTGGTCCTCGATCCCGATCCGGGAACCTCAATCCCAGTCCCCCCCTATGAAGATCGACGCTGTGAAAACAGATGCAGCATCGTAAAAAATCACGGCCAGAGCCCGGCACCCCATCTTCCAGCTGCATTTTCCGAGCCGCATCTATGTCCGATGCTCCCGGGGCCCAATCACGTGCGAAAACGCCCGGCTCGAAACAATTGCGACGCTATGCGGGACTGGAAAATGACCACAGCCACTGCTTCTTGTTTGCGCCACCTTCCAGCCAGCCGAAAAAGAAGCAGTGGTTGTGGTCATTTCCCTGGTGCCAAGCTTAACGAAAATGCCCACAACCACTGCTCTGTTTCTGCTGGCCGGAAGGCGGCAACAGAAGAAAAGCCGTGGCTGTGAACGTTTTCGCGCCCCGTACGCTACAGTATTCGGCCTGACCTAAGGAACGATGAATAAGGAACGAAGCCCCTTTTTTCCAAGCGAATATAGAACATCCGAAGAAACACCAGGGGGTCCCGCCGCCAAAACGGTAGCAGAACTCGTGCAAACCCAAGGGAAAGACCGAGCCCCTTTTGAAAAATATGTGTTCCTTATTCAGGCCGGACCCTGTAGGATCTCAGGGGCCCCCCAGCAGCGGGCGCCGCCGTGGAGGCGGACGGCTGCCGCTCCCAAGGCGTCCCGCCCACAGCCGGCGTGCCCGGCCGCGGGCCGCTGGCGCAGTCCTTGGTGTCCTCCCGCGCGCGCGCCGGCGGCGCCCAAATGCCAACGGCGCCCCGCGCGGAGGACGAGGAGGAGGAGGAGGACGAGGGGAAGGACGAAGAGGAGGAGGAGGCGGAGGAGGACGAGGAGGCGGAGGAGGAGGAGGAGGAGGAGGAGGACGAGGAGACGGAGGAGGAGGAGGAGGCGGAGGTCCGTAGCCATTTTGGCTCAAGGCTAAACGTTGTGAAGGGCTATAGACGCCCGAGAATCAGCGATTAGCTTTCGGCCCGTCCGTGGCCATCTCTCGAACTTTTGGCCTGCAGGAGGCCGTTTTCGCTTCTTTGTCTCTCGGCACATGGCTTCCAGCAGGCCCCGCAGCAATGGCAAGTCCTCGTCATACTGGGGCAGCCAGATCTGGACGTGTGCTGACAAGAAGTGCAAGTTCACGAACAACTTTGGCTGGAGGCGCACATGTTTCGTTTGCGGCGCTCAGAAGGCCAGTGCTGAGAGTCGCCCAAAGTCAGGTGCTTCCGACAAGTTTGCCAAGGGTGACAAGCTCGAGGACAGCCAGGTGCAAGCTCTTCTTGCTCTTGATGATGCTCAGTTCTGCGCTCTGGTGGCTCTTCTGCCCAGTCAGCAGCGAGCTCGCATCGTCGCGCAGAGGGCTGTCAAGTCTGGCGACCCCGCGGCGGTCTCGAAGGAGGCCAAAGTCGAGCACGACATCCTCAAAGCCAAGGTGTCCAAGGCCGCAGCGGCGCTTGACCGTGCCAAGGCGCTGCTGGCCTCGCAAGTGTTGCGCGTCGCGTCCCTGCAGGTCGAGCACGACGCGTTGCTGGCCAAGGAGAAGGTGGCGGCCAAGCGTGCGGCCGACGCCTACGGACAGTTGTCAGGAGGTGTGGCGGCTCCTGCAGCTGATGCATCTCAGCCACATGATCCTGCTGTGGGCCTACGCACGCAGCTGGTCGCTCTGGGCTGTGAGGCCACCGTCCTGGGCGATTTCGACAGGCTCATCGCGGCGCGTGATGCAGCAGAGGCCGAGCGGCAGCGGAAGGCTCAGGCTGATGCAGCCCAGGCCGCCGCGGCGGGTGCAGTCGTTCCTGGCGGTGGCGGTGATGCTGCTGATGTACCTGTCCCTGGCGCCCCTGCTCGCTCGGACAGCGACGCCAGCATGTCCATCTCGTTCAGCGACCTCGATGGCGACTGGATCGATGACCTCATCAAGGGCGCCAGCGACGCTGAGCCAGGTGATGGAGACTCTGAGGCCAAGGGCGGAATCACCCGCTCTGCTTTGCAGGCAGCGCTTGAGGAGGCCCTTGAGCGTGCAAAGAAGGCCAAGCACGACAAAGCCTCGGAGGGGTAGCACGCCACCTCGCGCGCGTGCGCGGGCCCCTCGTGTCTGGACATTTCTAACCTGCAATGTTACAGAGCGAGCTGGGCTTGACATCTTCCTCTCCCCCCCTCACTCCCTGAGCGCTGATGTGCTCGCCGCTCAGGAAACGCATATTGTGGACACAGAGGCGCAGGAAGCTGCGCTGCGTGCCCAAGGTCGTCGAGCACATTTCTATCCAGCTATTCCCACGGGCCGTGGGGTACCTCTGGAGGCCTCATGATCGCAACCCCGAAGCGCCTTGGTTTGTCTAGAGTGGAAGGCTACTCTGACAGTTCTGTACCTGGACGCGTTGGGATGTTACATCTAGGAGGCGTAATACCTGGGGGAGTTTTGGTAGCCAGCATCTATCTACATCATAGCGTTGGCCTTTCCCCTCAAAACTGGACTATATCATGTGACGTGGGGGCCCAGCTAAAAGCCATTTGTGATGCCGTTTATTATGATGGGTGATTTCAATCTGGAGCCTGAGGTCTTGGATTACAGCGGATGGGTGTCGGCCCTTGACGCTGTCATTGTCGCATCGGAAGGTGGAACGTGCCGCCCAGCCGATCGTGTGATCGATTTTTTCGTGGTCAGTCGCGAGCTCGCCGCTGGAGCTCAGGCAACTGTACTCTACGACGTTGCTACGGCACCGCATTACCCTGTTCAGCTTAGGCTTGCGTGCACGAAGGACTCCTATCGTGTCAGGGTGGCTAAGGCACCGAGGCGTTTCCCCACTGTGGTTCCCGTTGGGCCAAGGAATATGCCCCCCTGGAGGCCGTTGGGAGCAGGTGAGCATCTCGAAGTCTTGGGAGTCCTTTGTCCAGGCCGCGGAGCTCGAGCTTCTCGACGTGTACCATATAGACGATGATGCAGCCCAGAGTTACTTGGGACGAGGGGGACAGATCGAGTTTTCCTGGAGCACTCCTGGAGGACCTGGGCCGCCTGCTTTCCAGAGGGTCTCCCCAATGGCCACATGGCGGCGCAATGTTGGGGCTTTGTTTTCGGGGTTTGCCAAACCGTGCAGCTCTTTCAGGACTCGAGAGCTGTGTCGGGCTGCACATCGCCTCCAGGGGTCAAAGCACATTGTGAGCACGTACGCCCGCTGCTTCTGCCGCATGCTCGACCTGTTCGTGCACCCCGACATGCTCTTTTCGCTCGCAGCCCTCATGTCGCAGCTAGCTTGCCAGCAGGCTACTTACTTGCGTCGCCAGAGCGCGGCTCAGAAGACGGCAGGGTGGGAGCAGTGGGTAAAGAAGCACTCTGTTAATGGCGCAGCCGCACTTTTTGGCCACGTTCGACTGCCTGATCCCTGGCAGTCTTCCTCTATTGTGCAGTTCGCGCCCGCCACCAGCATGCAGGAGATTCAAGTCCTGGAGGCCGAGTGGAAGAAGTGGCGGAGGGTTGGAGTGAAAGACCCTCCTCTCAAATGGCCCTCGGACCTGGGGGAAAGACCCCCTGCCCCCACCCTGGAGCACCTCAAGAGGGTCCTGAGGACGTTCCCATGTGGGGACGGGTTGTGGGTTCGACCAGCTGCCGCCACGGCAGCGTTTGCGCCTCCCTGACGAAGCGCTCGAGATCTTTTGCCAGTTGATCTCCTGCATAGAGCACAAGGTCGAATGGCCGCCTATGACTATGAGAATAATTTTCATTTTAAAGAGGCTGGGTGGAGTACGACCACCCGCGTTGCTGCACTGCCTTTGTCGCGTTCAGGCGCGACTCAGGAGAGCGGCTCTACAGAAATGGCAGAAGGACAACTATAGATACTTCTGGTGGGCCATTCGAAGAAAATCGTCGGAGCTGTCGGTCTGGCTTCAAGCGGGCTGGGCTGAGTTTCATTCGGACTCGGGCAGTGGCTCGGCGACCCTTCTTGTCGACCTCAAGAAGGCTTTCGAGCTCGTTAGGCACGAGCACCTCAATCTGCAGCTGTCCGCACGTCATTTCCGCTCTGGCAGCTTAAGTTACTCGTGCTAGCATATCGCGCACACAGGGTCATAGGGCTACAGGGACTCTGCAGCGAGGCTATCAAGGTCGACCAGACCATTGCACCTGGCTGCCTGTTCGCCACCTGCATCCTTCAGCTCATGCTGCTCGGGCCGTTAGGCGAGGTCAGGAAGGAGTATCCCACGGTACCCATCGCTGTTTGTGTTGATGACATATGTTTACAGAGATGTGGAACTGCTACCAGAGTTGTAATGAAGTGTCGGGGGCAGGGGCAATGCTTAAGCACGACCTGAAGAAGGTTGACCTCATCATTGCCCTTGACAAATCCAGGGTGCTCGCGAGCACCCCAGATACCCAGTGCAGTTTACAGCGCAGGCTTACCTCTGTTAAGGAGATTGGAGTGCACTCTGAGCGCAATCTTGGAGTTGACTACTCAGCTGGGCGTGCCACTAGGAGACGGACGCGTGCAGCACGCATACCTGTGGCTAAAGCTAAGCTCAAGCGTTTGATCCACCTGCAGGGCGCGCATGCTCGTAAGAAAACGTTGCAGCACATGGCGCGCGCATCCATCGAGACCAGTGTCACGTTCGGCACGGCCGTGCAGGGCACGAGTATGAGCGAGCTTGATACGCTACGTACTATGGCTGCAGCGTCACGTGGGGTTAAAGCCGCTGGGAGATCACGCACGCTTGCACTGCTGATGACCCCCAGCCCGAAGTTCGACCCCATTTACCGTGCTACGCTAGAGCCCGTCAAGGCCTTCATGCATGCCATCTGGAGGGCCCGTATGCCTATCAGCACGCTGCAAGCGGGCCTTGCCGCTGCTGCTGCAAGGTTGGGATCCCACAGCTCCCCGTGGCAGGCCATCAGGGGGCCTTTCTCTGCGCTATGGGCTCCTTTAAAGCGCGTGGGCGTTGAGGCTAGTGATCTGCGGGCTTGGATCTTCCCGAATGGCCAGGTTATCGACCCCACCCAGCTCTGCCCCAGGTCCGTTCAGGTGCTGATCGAGAGGGCTACTGTCGCTTGGCAGATGCAGAAGGTCTCTGAGCTTTTCGAGGTGCCCGAGTTTCATGGGTGTGTATGGGTCGAGCCTCTCAGGGCGCTCTGCAATTCCAGGATCTTGATGGCCCAAGAGGCGGCCTATTTGCGTTCGGCCGTCATCGGTGCCCAGTGGACGCAGGCCAGGCACTACGAACAAGGCTGGATCCAGGGCCCCCTCTGCAGGTTGTGTAAGGCTTTCCCAGGCACGCTTCTGCATAGGCACGCCAGCTGCGAGTACAGCACAGAGCTCGTAGGCCCCGTGCCGACGATGGTCAGCATCTTTGCAGAGCGCGCCAGCACCAATAAGTTGTTTCAAGTATTCATCGAGCGGCTCATTCTTGCCAAGCCGCCCGTGCCGACGGATCTGCTACAGTATCATTTGCAGCCCTACCTCAGGTGGAAAGGAGATGCTTCCAGTTTCACGGGAGATATTTATCTGAACGGATCTTGTTTTGACGAGTTTCCTACCTATCCCGTGGCTGGTTTCTCGGCGGTTGCATTGCATCCTCTGGCGGATCGTGCTGTGTGTACTGTTTCTGGTTTTCTCCCTGGGCCGCATCAGGACATCGACGGGGCTGAGTTGTTTGCATTGTATATTGCTCTGCAGCATGCTATTCCTCCTGTGGCGGTGTACTCTGACTCGGTCTTTGTTGTTAGTGGGGTCAATCTGCTGGGTGA